AGTTCTTTGGTTCAAGATGTGTGGGGCTTAAACAGATAAACTAAATCTGTCTATGTGAAAATTGAAGGACGTTAAAAAGAAAAAAGTCTACAAACGAGTAAAATTAAACTAACAGCAGGCTTCAAAAACAAAAGAAATTCAGAAGAGCTGAGATCTGCCTCAAAGAGCTGAGACAGAATTAAGTATGCTGGATAACAGAATATGTAATTTCTAAACTAAATGAGGAGTACAAAGGTAAACAGGAAAAAACCAAAACAGAAAACAGGTACAAACTGAAGGTACTGAAGGAAAAAAATCACAGAAGCATCAAGTACTAAAAACAACAATACAATTTAAATTCCTGGTGCAAAGACAGATTGATGGTCACTTTAAAAATTTATCTATGTATTGATTATAAGACACATACCTTAAAAACAAAGATGAAAATGTTGAAACTAAAAGATTGATAGGAGATGGAAGTCTTCAAAGCAGAAGGCATTATTTTAAATGCAGTCATTACATAAAAAGAAAAAATACAGCCGGGCGGTAGTGGCGCACGCCTTAATCCCAGCACTGGGGAGGCAGAGCCAGGTGGATCTCTGTGAGTTCAAGGCCAGCCTAGTCTACAGAGTGAGATCCAGGACAGGCACCAAAACTACACAGAGAAACCCTGTCTCAAAAAAAAAGAAAAGAAAGAAAAAAATACATCAGAAACACATTTACCTAAGCTTTATTTCCTAAGAAATAATTTCAAAAATTTTGATACTTTAGAATGAGAACTTGTCCAGTGCATATTATAGATGATTTCTGACATACCTTAAAGTCTCAGCATAGCTTATTAGTTTAGGTTCAGTTAATTCTTCTATAAATAAAAACAATACTAGTAGATAGGGACATAAGGTGAAATTTTCTTATTTGCTAGTGAATTCCAAATGCTATTTAGCCTTTGCTCACCCTCATATAACAACAGCATATTTGTTATAATGAATAGAATAGTAGAGTCTATTTTCACGTATGGCAGCTGAACTATGGCGTGAATAGTGTTCAAACCTTCCTTATTGTTCTATTTTAGAATTTAATTTTGAGTCTTTCTCCTTAGAGTCCCTGCATTTAGATCCTAGCTGTAATTAACACATGTGGATACTGTTAAAATTCATATTACCACCGTTTTAGAGTATTACAGATGAACCTCACTGTTTTCTTTAATGACCAGAGAATATATGCCAACTTTGGAGGAGTTCTTTGAAGAAGCCATTGAACAAGCAGATCCTGAAAACATGGTTGAAAGTGAATATAAGTAAGTAATGTTCTAATGAACTGATGCTAACTTTCAGCATGTGTTTTTAGGAATCCTCTGTATGCTATACAGTTTATTAAGTCAGCAGAGTAGTGCTTTTAGGGTGAATTTATGCACATAGTTCACATTACTTAACTCCTTATTTCAATGACTATTCATTCCTATTGGCTCTCAACCATGACTTGCAATAACCTGCCTGCCTCACACTGAAGAACTCTCACCTGTCACCTCTAGTGTTTATTCTGCACAGCCGTCTCTCCTGACAGCCAGTTTAGTTTTGTCCTCACGTCCTCCATGTCAGCCATGCACTTGAGGCTGTGTTCCCTGTCAGTCCATTGAGATAGCTTCACAGGACTTTTCTCTTCAGCGCTCAACAGCATCTGCCAGTAGACCCATCTTGGTATCTGTGGAACTGTTTGGCCTTTTACCTTGCTGCCCCCTCCACCTGCCTCCACATCTGCTGCCTCACCCTAAATTTCTGGGGTAACCTTTAAGACTTAGCATCTTTTATCTAAAGTGTCCCATGTGACAGCACAGTTTTAGCTTTTAGGTAGGTGTTTTGGAATTGTGATTTAAAGGCAAGGGCCCTCCTGTCAGAATATATAGGTTCCCATCCTGTGCCACTTACTGGCCAGGTGTCTAGTTCTAACAAATCCCCTTTTCTCATTTGCCAAGTAGTAACTTTCACAGGGTATTTCTGAAAATTAAATGGTTTGTTTTGATCCATGTAGTTAGCACACCACATAAATGACTAATTTTGACCCAGTGATAAGTTTTTACATGCCCCAACCTTATAACTAATGTGTGTTCTATTCTCCATGCACTGGAGAGTGATCTTTAAAATATACATATATGGATGGGCTGGAAAAATTGCTCAGAGGTTAAGAGCGCTAACTGCTCTGCTAGAGGACCCAGGTTTGATTCCCAGCACCACATGGTGGCGACAACCATTTAACTCCAGTTCCAGAGGATCTGACATGACATCTTCTGGCCTTCTTTGGTACTGCATGCATAAGATACACAATCATGCAGGCAAAACACCCATACACATAATAAAAGTCTAAAGTATATAAAATAAATGACAAGATAGATACGGTGTTGGGCATGGTTATACACATCTTTCATCCCAGCACTCAGAAGGCAGAGGCAGGTGGATTCGTTGAGTTTGAGACCAGCCTGGTCTATACTCTGTCTAAAGGGCATACCTATAATCCCAGCACTCGGGAGGCTAAAGCAGGATTAACTTTGAGGTTCGTCTGTCTTACAGAGTAAGATCTTATCAATAAAATAAAGTAAAATATGCACGTCTCATCTCATGCTTAAACGCTTTCTCATGCTTAAAGTGAAATATGTATAAATAAACCATATTTCAGGTCTGTGCATTTGGGGATTGCAGGGTAGGCAGGAATGGACAAAGCTCTAAAGAGAATCCGTTTGTACTTCCTGCAGTTTTATCCTTTTGAGGGCATTTGTCTTTAGGATTTCTCACAGGTCCTTTTTTCTTGATTTCTGATTCTTTTCTTGATATCACTGTGTCACTACTGTGGCTACTGGATATTTGCTCTTCTGGCATTTTGAGCCATTTTTCACTGAGGTTGACGTTAAGTGAATTAAAGACTAGCTGTTACATAAATACAACTCCAAATATAGGTCCCTTATTCAAAATACTTGAAGCTGTTTTCTGATTTTTTTCCCCATATTTAGAACATTTTAGACCTTAGCAGATAAGCATTTTAAGACAAGTTAAACATTTCAGGTTTTACATTAGATATCTTCAACTTATATTAGTTACATTAACTAGATAAACTCAAATTTATAAAATATTCTAAACTCACATCTATAGGTGGCACTGCAGATATGGATACCAACTCACTAAATATCTTTTTTCCTCTTTTTCCTTCTATATAACTGGATGGATGGTTTCTATGCATAGTGTCTAGTAGTCAGGAGTAGGGACATAAACCATTGACTTGCTAAAATAAGCAAAATATATAGACTTTCAAATTAAAAGACGGTACTTTGAACTGTTATTTGCAATAAAGTACAAAGTGTCGTGTGACATGGAAAGAACTATTGAAGTGGATAACTATAAATCACAAGGCTGACAACTCTTCTTACAGAGCTGTGAACAATTCAAATTATGGGTGGAGAGCTCTCAGACTCTTAGCTCGGAGAAGTCCTCACTTCTTCCAGCCAACCAACCAGCAGTTTAAAAGTCTGCCAGAGTACCTTGAGAACATGGTAATAAAGCTAGCCAAGGAACTACCAGTAAGTGCCATACGTCATTTTTTCCTACTTCCTTTAGTAGACATTATCTGCTTTAAAACTGCCATCAGTATTTGAGCAGAACTCAAATTAGTTTTTCACACAAAAATAGTCATCTACAGACCACCGTGTTTTAGATTGGGGAGTGTTAATTGAATATTCACAAGAGAAAATGTGAACCAAGAATGGTAATTTTCTGTGCAGCACATATTTATAAATGTGTTAAAAACTGTCTGTGGTAAACTGATTAATTTTTCCTCTTCGCCAGTGTTTTACTGTCTTTTGTCAAGGGCAGGGTCTAGGAGTGGACTAGGGTACCTGGCAGAACTTTCCGTTGTGCTCTCTTCCAGTGTTTTCTTACAGTATGGTAATGATAAACATGTTCAATCTCTATCACCCCTTTGACAATACTAAGTCAAATCGGCTTGTTCATGCTTCTCAGTCTTCCTTCTGCCAGGGGTCCATTACTGGGAATCTTAACAACCTTATAATTACATTATCAAAACAGAACTATTTCCTGTTATTTTCAGAAACTAGTGTTCTTTTAAACGTCACTGTTTGCCGGGAGGTGATAGTGCACCCCTTTAATCGCAGCACTTGGGAGGCAGAGGCAGGTGGGTCTCTGTGAGTTCGAGGCCAGCCTGGTCTACAGAGTGAGTTCTAGGACAGACTCCAAAACTACACAGAGAAACTGTGTCTCAAATAAATAAATAAATAAATAAATAAAATAAACATCATTGTTTCTCATCTAATATAGCCTCCTTCTGAAGAAATAAAAACAGGTGAAGATGAAGATGAGGAAGATAATGATGCTTTACTGAAGGAAAATGAAAGTAAGAAATGAATTTTTATATAAAATTTTTATATTTTATATAATGAGATTTGGAAATGATAATTTTAAAAGGATTAATGAAGATAGGTGTTTTAAGGCAGAGCCTTAAACGCTGCTAACTAGTTAGAGCTAAAGGGAACATCTCCTGCCTGAATTGTGTGGGTTTTTTGTTTGTTTGTTTGTTTGTTTTTTAAGGAAGTTGTAACCTATAGAGAATTAAGTTTTAAAGTAAAGTACCCAGTGGGGTTTTTTAGCTTTGCAGTTCTTTCAAATACTTAGAATTGCACATCCCTGTATTTTACACATAATTTATATCCCCTTGTCTTCTAGGTCCCGATGTTCGACGAGATAAACCTATAACAGGGGAACAAATAGAGTTATTTGCCAACAAACTTGGTGAGCAATGGAAGATTTTGGCTCCTTACTTGGAAATTAAAGACTCTGAAATTAGGCAGATTGAGTGTGACAGTGAAGACATGAAGATGAGGGCCAAGCAGCTCCTTGTTGCCTGGCAAGATCAAGAAGGAGCTCATGCAACAACAGATAACCTGATTAGTGCACTAAACAAGTCTGGATTAAGTGACCTTGCAGAAAGTCTAACTAATGACACTGAGACAAACAGTTAGCTTGGTTTCTTTCCTTTCTTTTTTATTAAACTGATAAGATTTTGTTACCAAGCAGCATTTGATAAGAGGTCCACTGGTTTTGGTAAACAATAAACACTTTTATAACAGCTGTTGTACAGTTGGCTACTGCTTCAAGAAACACAGAACAGGCATTGCTTCAAACCTTAGTTTGGAGTATAGGAGGGTGGGGTGGGAAAATGCCAAAGTAAAGCGACCTCAGTATCACAGACTACATTTTGTAAGTATTTTTATAATGAAGTTAAATAAGCACTATTTGAGTATGTTACATTCCTGTCCCAAATTAGTTTCCTGCATGCTGTTTGCTGTAAAATTTATTCTGAAATCCCAGGATACTTCTGAAACCTTAGGACTGTTCTCACTCTCAAGCTATAAAGCTCGGCAAACACTAATCTGTTGGTTCAGGTGTTTTCACTACAGCAGCAATGAGTTCAGACTGACAACCGGCAGCCTGCAGAGCCTAAACTGTGCACTGTTTGGCCATCCCAGACAATGTGTGCCAGCCTCTCACTTTAAATGAGGTGAAGTCTAAGACCCAACTACTCCATTAACTTTACAAAAAAATCACTTGACCCCTAAGTCATTCAACACCCAGGGACTCCTGTTAATTAATTCAAATGAAATGTATGTGAAAACATCCAAGGGTAGCAGAGCATGTGCAGTACTGGCTAAAGGTAAGACTGTCATCTACCCATACAGCATCTATAGGATGGTAAGGTCAGGTCGTTGTCCAAGGGCTACTGGGCACACACCACTGTAAGTGCTCTTGTTTGGACCTCACTCCACTAGCTAGGGAATGACCATGCACAGCTCTAGCCTCCAGAGGCCCTCTGTGTGCATTAAGCAAATAAAGGCACATTCAGGAATTAGAAGGGAGGGGATTGTTTTCGCCTCATTGCCCTTACATTCAAGGCTGCATTCTAAAACTTAAGTCCTCCTTATTAAACAACACTGGTAGAAACCCAATTTCTACTTAATGGAATAACTTTGGAACACCTTTTTTAGAGCAAATAAACTATAACCAAGCTTTTTATAATGATACAGTTTTTAAATTTTTAACATGGTTTTTTACATAGTTGTTTAAACCCACTTCACTTGGTTTAGGAGGAAAACTCAGGTGCTAAATTAATTCCTTCTACAACTGTTCTAGCAAATGAGAGTGAATAAAGGACTGCATCCCAGGGATCATGGCATAAAGCATTACAGTCTTGACTGCTAATATCGTTTAAAAGAGCAAACTTACAGAAGTATCCCTGAAATGCTGACTTATGCCACAGTGTTAACAGATTTATTATTCTATACGACTCTTAGGTAGCAACATACTTCACAGAACATTAAAACATATGGTCTAAGATGTCATGATATTCCCCAACTTTATTAACCAATAGCCAGCTCAAAATCAGACCAATTAGGTAATATCCAATCCTTCATCCTTTCCCTAACAATCAAGGTTTCTGACCCATCTAAAGATTTATGAGTAACTGACTAATAGATTAATAAACTGATCTTATTCAAATACTCTTGGTAATGTATACCTTAATTTTAAAAATCACTAATACTAAATTTTGAGATGGACATACAGACTTTGGGAAAGAAAATAGAAACAACAAATGAGTAAGGGAATGGAACTGATCACAGAATTCAGTGTCCAAAGAAATCTATCACTTTTACAACTTTGTATTTCTTTTGAAATAACATTGCCCAAGCTGATACCTTGTATTTTAAATGGATGCTTAACAGTTTAAGATTATTAACAATCTGCAGAAATTGTATAGTATTGAATTCATCTGACTCTTCAGCCAAACTAACACTAAAGACAGGAGGTCAAAAGTTGTTAATCCCTCTTTTCTTTTTTTTATTATTAAATATCCTCATTTTCTAAAAATAAGCAACCAGAGCTTGTTGACATATATGATTACCACAAAACCAATGCAAAGTTAAATATATAAACCATAGTACATTAGAGACACAATAATCAGTGTATAATCAAATGTATTCTTATTGATCACAATTTATTGTAAAGTCATGAAAGGCCAGCAACAGTCAGTCTGGACAAATACTTGATTGCACCCAGTTGATGGGATGTGGACAGCAGCACTGAGTTACACGATGAGAGAGCAACACTTCCTTTTCCACCTTCCTAGAAAAATATTGGTTAGATAAGGCAAAGGATGGGCAGCTACTGAACGGTGATACTAACCATGCAAGAACAACAAATAGGTGTGCAATAAACATCATTACTAAATCTTGAGCTGGAAGGGCAAGGGGGAAAAATGGACTTCAGCTAAGAATTTGTAAGAATTAATGCAAGAAATAAGCTTTTACAGAATGTCTTCCAGCTACCTTTATACACGGTAGCACCCAAATGTAATTTTCTGTAGTCCTAAGGTTGAAGATGTACAAGTGGCCTGGTTCTGTTCTCCTTTGTTCCCTTTAGAGCTCAAGACTATAGAAATGATAAACAAAAAAAAATTTTTTTTTCATTTCACACCTAGGCATAAATAGCTAAACTGAAGATTACTGTTCACTTTCTTCTTCCATTATTTCAACTCTTCGAGGCCCATAAAGTAGAACATAAGCAATGTGCCAGTCTCCACCACCAGACAGCCGCAGGATATCTTCTGGTGTTACAATGCTGACCTTATCATCGTCAAACTTGATCCATTCATCTAAGTTAAGATAGCACACAATTATTTTCAGAGTTCTAGTGGAAAAGAAACTAATGTGATATGCAGCAGTACTCCACCTGACTACCAACAGTTCTCCCAAGTGTGGCCTTGGGGACCATGCAGGTTCAAGATGATGTCAAGAGTTCCATGACATCCCAGCTATTTCAGTACTATTTCTAATGCATGATCTGCCTTTCTGCCCTCATTGTCTCCAGTGCACTCTGCAGATCTCCAGAAACTTCATAATGTGTGCCAATGCAAGTTTGAGCACAGATAGGTACGAAAGGGACTAAGGATGTAGCTGGTTGCAGAGCACTTGCTCAGCATATGCAAGGTATCTTTGTGGTTTGATCTCAATATCAAAACAACCAAAACCCTCAAATACAAGAATCTAGCCATATTAATCTGGACAATAGGAAGACAAAAATGTAAATCCATACCACTTCATGACATTTTTGCTTGGGCAATAGTTTTTAAGCTAACTCTCTCAGCTATAACTGCTGATGTTATAAATTTGAAAATAAAAGATAAGCAAAGCTTGGGGGGGTTGAAAACACAGAGAAAGAATTGGGGATTTACTCAGTGAGTGAAGTACCTGACACACAGATGATCCCCCAGGCAAAGCTGTACATGATGGCTCCTGTCTGTAACCCTAGTGCTGTGGGGCTGGGAGAGAAGCAGCTGCCTGGGCTCCTGACTAGCCAATCTAGCTCAATCTAGCTCTAGGCTCAGTGAGAAACTGTCAACAGTGGTAAAGGAAGACACCTAACATGGACCTCTGGCCTATATACAAATACCCACATACCTGCATACAAACTATAGACAATTATTTTTCATTTTATTTTTTTAAAAGGCATAAAGAATCACAGACAAAAATACCCACAATGCTATGAAGGTTGCAATAATAAAGTAGTAGTTAACAACTGTAACAATACTCTTTACCTTGTTTCCTTTTCACCCATGATACATAATGACCTGAAGAACTAGATCTTCCCTGGTGAGTTAGAACTGCTTGTAAGTCATAGTATCCACAATTATTGGAGCCAATATCTGAAAGAGAAGGGAATCAATTAAAACAGGCAACAAATAGACAAGTGCTCTCTCAAAGAGTAACAATCATCAAGTTAGGACTGGAGAAATACTGCTCTACTGGACTCCATTAAATATCACTTTGCAGAGCTACAATTAAGTTTATTATCCACAACTACACATCCAAATGTACCACTTTAAGTTATATTAAGGAAAATTACTTTTCAAGAAGCCTGAATTTAGACCAGGCAACAGTGGCTCATGTCTCTCACACCAATTCTTAAGAAGCTAAGACAGGTAAAAAAAAAAAAAAATAACTTTGAGGACCACCCTTGTTAGCTACATGGTGAATTCCAGGCCATCCTTTCTCAAAACCAAAACAAAAACCTAAAGTAAAAGAAAAAATAGTATCGGAATAATCAGATAAATGGCAGAACGTGCCATCTGTCTTAAATGTGTATACAACAGAAGTGAGACATCCAAAAGCCGAGTGGTGGTGTGCACCTTTTCTCTCAGCACTCGGGAGGCAGGTGGATCTCTGTGAGTTCGAGCCTCGAACTCACAGAGCAAGATCCAGGATAGCTAGGACTTACACAGAGAAATCCTATCTCGAAAAAACAACAACAAAAGAAATGAAACATCCACTTACCATCAGCAAACGAAAAGGGTTCATACTTAACCTCTTTTGGGGGACTATTCTTCTTGTCATTCTAAGAGGAAAAATAATTTTAATTTTAAATAGTGATATTGGAAATGAATACATATTCTTGTTAGTATTTAATGATATAAATATTTACACTGTCTACAAATCACTGAAACAGTTTGCCTTGTAAATACTTTAATGATAAACTACACTTATCTTAAAAACTGCAAAGTCAAAGGCTCTACTCTTTAATAATACACAGTATTATCACAGTAAATAACATGTTCCCTAGATATACTGCTAATGTTAAGCCACTAACTAAAATTTTAACATACCAGAAAATCTAGTGGTGTGTCTGTGAACCTCCAGGGGCCATCTCAAAACAAACAAACCACAAACCCCAGTCAAGTTTCTGCAATTGAAGCCACTCTTCCATTTTAGCTGAAACGAACAAAGGCCTACACTAAAAGTGGTATGATTAACTACATGGACAAGAGACTTTAGTAGGAACTCACTGCCTCATCTTACTAGCAGGCAAAAATTAAACAGGTCTCAAATAAAAATAACAGAAAACAGGAAATTCAACCAAACAGGATCAGTCTTTGAAACAATAAAACAGAACCCTCAAGAAGAAAAGAAACAAATTATAATTATCAATAGAGAAATGGGATAGATTTGCCCTACAGACATATAACATCTAATAAAAGATCACCAGGAACAATTATACAGACAAATATGACCTGCTAAATGAAATTAATCGATTTTGTGAAAACGCAAACAATATGAAATAGATCACTTGAGTAATTCTCTACTTGTCCTGTAGTTTCAGGAAACTAAGTTAAACCTTTGAAAACTTTAAGTCTCCAGACATTGGTTATTTCCACAATCAAACAGAAAACAATTCTACACAGTCTGTCTGAACAATAACAGAAAAAAAAAAAAAAAAAAGCTTCAGGATATAAGATCAATATACAAAGATAGTGATGCCATTTGCAGAAAGAAGCATTAAAAAGATCACAGTTGGAGATCACAAATCTGATCCTTAGAGGGACATTTCAGTAGTTATAACATTGTGGCACATCCTGTAATCCCAGCACTTTGGAGGTCTAGAGGCAGGAAGCTCAGGAGTTCAGGCTAGTCTCAACTATCTGGCAAATTCATGGCCAGCCTGGGCCCCAAGAATCCCTGTCTTATGGAACAAAAACAAACATAGTATGGCCAAAGAACAGATATACAAACCAATGGAATAAAATTAAAGACTCCAGAAACATATTCTTATCTATTGTCAACCAATTATCTACAAAGATGCTAGGATCACTAAGTTGGCAAATACTAGGTTTGCTTCATTTTTTTTTTAGATGCTAGAGAGTCATGTCCAAAAGAATGAATGTGAACATTTTATCACCTAGAAGTTAAACCAGAATGAATCAAATATCAAAATAAACAAACTATAAAACTCTTCAACTTTTTCTCTGCATTAGGATGAAAAGATAAAACTACCGACTTTTGAGAAAAAGACTTACAATCTGCATAGCTAAGGATTACAATCTACAACAGAGTAATAACTAGTTCAACAGAAGACACACATGACAACCAAAACATGAAAAACAACATCATTACAACTTGGGAAATGCAGAAGAAAACACCAGGCAGCACCACAAACCTATCCATCGGCTCGAATGAAAACTAGTGACAACAGCGAATGCTGGTCAAAAAGTGGGCCAATCACACATTCATTGCTGACAGGAATATGAAGTAGGAAGCATATGGCGCTTTCTTGAAAAACTGAACATGCAACCACCATGCAACACAGCAATTATACTTTTGGACATTCGTTCTTGGAAAATGAAACTCCTGCTTACACTATCTGCAAATGAACATTTTTACTAGCTTTATTCATAATAGACAAAAACTGAAAACGATGTAAGTATCCTATAATAAAAGAATGGTTAAACAACAGAATACCCACACAAGGAAATACTATTCAGTGGTAAAAACTTGCCTACTGACATACACAGGCTGGATGACTTCTGGCGAGTTATGAATGAGGAATCAATTCAAAAAGTTCACGCCTAACAAATGGGAGCTTAATTTCATTTAGTAACTTCCTTGAAATTACAAAAGCATTGAAACATGATAGGGGATGAGACTAAGATGGCAATTCTATACCTCCAATTCTATTATAGAGAGGATTAAAATACTTCAAGGAAAATCATCACACATGGAAAATTCAGACTTCATGTGAAATGCACACATGCTGTAGACTCTAGAGCAAAGATAATCAAGGGGCTGCTTTCCACAGCAGAGCCCCTGCTTCTTCTCGCACTACAGGTGGGGAGAGGCCAGCATCAAGACACGCAACGTGTAGACACTTCCTAACTGAAATGCAAGCTGACCATTTCCATAACAGTAACTGCTACTGCTACGCACTAAATGAAGACTGAAATGGCAGTAGTAAAAATACTGCAAAAGGAACCTACTGCATTTGGTTGCTGATTCACTTTTTTATCTTCTAGATCCTTGAATTTTGACCGAAAAGAGACCATTTTCTCTTGAAGTTCTGGTGTGCAGAGTTCATACACATCTAACATAAGAGGAAATTTAACATCCTGTAACAAAAAGAAAACAAGTGCAAAAAGACAATTATTTACAATACATATAACACTTTCAAAGTAATACTTTCATAATTCAAATAAAAGTTGAAAATGAAATCTGTGACATCACAGTGGAGGACTGAAGCTGAAGAAAACGCTTTAGACTTATTCTCAAGGGTGACCTGTACTAACTAAGTGGGCTCTCTGCTTATAGAAAGAACCCATGAAACTGGGAGGGAATAATGGTGTAGGGTTGGGGGGGAATGGAGGGAAAGGAGTGAGGGGTGGATTTGACCAAAACAAATTATATGCATGTACGAAATTCTCAAACACTTAAAGAATGATTTGATTGTAACTTTTATATAGTAACTACTTTTCGAGATCTTTTTCCATTAAATAATCAAGACTATGCACATGACCACAGAAGCCACAGTTGTGTAACAGAGCAGTGATGCAGAAATAGTAGGTGAGATGCTATGCAAGTAATGGATCCCAATGTGGTGTTTCAACTGGTCAGTGCTTTGCTGTGAAACACAATTTTATATAGAAACAATATTGAAACATTAAAAGAACATATTAAAATAGTTACAGTAAATTCTAGTAGAAACCCAAGCTACATTTAACCTTCACCTACAATTCCATCAGAAAATGTTATGAACTTCAGCTCCAGAGGCTAGATTCATTCATAGAACTCTTCAAAGGAATTCTGTACACACAGCTAGACCCAGTTCAACACAGTTCAAGGGATCACAGCTTAAGCTCTGTGGTGCTTAAATGCAATGCAGTGTACTTACTGCTTCTGTCCTCATTTCTAACAAATCCCCTCAAATCTGATCTATGAAGTGAAGGATCTAATTTAAGGCAGTATTTCTGGGGTGTGCAAGAAATAATACAATTATCTGTGAATCCTTTAAAAAATACAAAATTCTTGCTCCAAGACTTAGAAGATGTTTGAGGCTGGAGGAAGAAGCCAGGCAAGTGTAAAACAAAAAGGATAATACATAATTCTAATAAACACTGTGCACTAAGGATCACCTGCCTAATATTAATCACCCCTAACCATCTCAAAACTATTCTTTTTGGTTTTTTGTTGTTTGTTTTTTTTAAGACAGGGTTTCTCTGTGTATCTAATGTCCTGGAACTCACTCTATAGAGCATACTGGCCAGGAACTCAGAGATCCTTCTGCCTCTGCTTCCCAAGTGCTTAAAGGGATTAAAAGCATGTCCCACCACTGCCCAGCTGAAAGCTATTTTTAATAGGATAAATAAATCTACTATGGATTAGAAATTGCCTTCAAAGGATCGTATTTAATATACAGATTAAAATTCATTACTAACCTTAAGAACTTTGGCGTTCACAGATTCTTTCTCTTTATAAAAAAATCGAACCATCTGGATAGTTAAGTAAGCAGGCAGCCGGCTGATCTTAGACTAAGGAGAGAAATGGGAAGAAATCCTTTATATCTAAGGCCATGAGAGTCTTTTTATTTTGGTGGTAAAAACAAAGATTAGATAAAATTAACTGGAACCCTTTCTCTTTTCTGCATGTGTGTAGTGTAGATGAGAATTGAATGTGTATTTGTGTGCGTGTTTGCAAGTGTCTACGTAGGCACATGTATGTGTAAGTGCACATGTGTGACTGTGCACGTGGAGGACTAAAGTTGACAGCAGGTGTCTTTCTCAATCACCTTTTATATCTCATGCTGAACCCTGACCTCACTGTCCTCACTAGTCCAACCAGCCAGCTCCACCTGCAACACCCTGGGATTAGAAGCATGAAGCCAAGCCTACCCAGCTTTTGCATGAGTTCTGAGGTTCCAAACTCCAATTCTCAGGCTTGCACAGCAAGCAGTTCTCCTGCTGAGTCACCTCCATGCCCCTGAACCCTTTCAATGAAATGGAATTCAATTTCAAAAGGAAATATAACTTACAGATTTGATGTACAAAGCATTTCTCTGCAGTGTTGGAGATTGTTTAGTAATTTCTTCCTGAAGTCGCTTAAAAAAGAAATTACAGACAACCAAACATCAGACTTAGAAACTATTTTCTGCAACACAGAATCATACATCTAATTTTTAAAAACAACACTATTTAATTAATAATAATACATCAGAGGATTTATCCCAGTGAAAAACAGAATAAACATGACAGGGTTTTTTTTTTTAAGATTTTGCTCAATATTTATTATAAGCAATCATATAATATATACTATTAAGAATTTCTCCCACCAGGCAGTGGTGGCGCACACCTTTAATCCCAGAACTCAGGAGGCAAAGGCAGGCAAATCTCTGAGTTTGAAGCCAGCCAGAGCTATTTAACAGAAAAACCCTGTCTTGGGGGGGAAAAAAAAAAGACAAAGAAACCAAAAAGAATTCATTCCTCTGAATACAATGTTGTTGCTCAAAGTCAGAGAAAGTAAATTATTATTTTATTAAATAATAAAGCCTCCTGTCACCCTATATCTATGAATACTCAGAATACTCACACTAGAAATTAAGAGAATATAGGAAACCCTTGTTCTTCGTGCATTATATATAAAAGCCTGCCAGCATCAATTAGGTTAATTTTAAATCTGAGAAGAATTAACAAAGAAAACTTGCTAATCTAAGGCAGTGGTTCTCAACCTGTGGATCGCAACTTCTTTAGGGGTGTTAAATGACCCTTACACAGGGATCAGGCATCAGATATCCTACATATAGATATTTACATTACAATTCATAACAGTAGCAAAGTTACAGCTATGAAGTAGCAACAAAAATAATTTTATGGCTGGGGTCTCCACAACGTGAGGAACTGTATTAAAGGGTCATGGCATTAGGAAGGTTAAGAACCACTGCACTAAGTAAGTGTGAGGAAATCTTTAGCTACAATTTATCTCCTCTGGCCACATTTGTTAAAATCTCAGGAGGTAGAGGCAGGTCTATAGAATGAGATCCAGGATAGGCACCAAAACTACACAGAGAAACCCTGTCTCGAAAAAACAAAACAACAACAACAACAAAAAAAAAGACACAAGTTAGTGCATGCTGAAAACTTGGAAAACAATCTGGCCAAGAGTTCATATGTTGGGCTGGAGAGATGGCTCAGTGGTTAAGAGCACTGACTGCTCTTCTAGAGGACCTGGGTTCAAGTCCCAGCACCCACATTGCAGCTCACAACTGTCTGTAACTCCGAGATCTGACACCCTCACACAGTCTACATACACGCAGCAAAACACCAATGCAAATAAAATAAAAATAAATAAACTTAAAAAAAAGAGTTCATATGTAATAAAGATTATTATTATCAATGTGCTATTTATCTATATATACATATATAACTTAGCAACACTAAACAAATATGAACTAAAAGAACTTATTGTTTATAATATATTATCTTAAATTGTGTAATTTAAGTCTGTTTTTTAAAAAAATTACCAATCACATTATAAAAGGAATCACTGTGGAGCTTTAACACATAATCATGCAAAGGTGAAACATGAAGTAAAATGATTTAAAATCCAATAAAAGAGCCGGGGGTGAGGGGTGGCACATGCCTTTATTCCCACCATTCAGGAGGTAGAGGCAGGTGGATCTCTGTGAGTTCGAGTCCAGCCTGGTCTACAGAGCAAGTTCTAGGATAGCCAGGGCTACACAGAGAAACCCTATCTCAAAAAAGGGGGGCAAAAAAAAAAGAAAGAAAAGAAAAAGATCCAAACAAATGATGATGATAAAATCTTTAAAATGATAAAGGGGAAAAAAAAAAACTACCCAATTCAGAAATATTCAAGAAAAAATAGCTGGAATTAGGTGTGCTGGTGGTCAGTGATCCCAGCAACATGGAGGCTGAGCCAAGAGGTCTGCAAGTTCCTGAGCTACATAGTGCGTACACACGTACACACACACACACACACACACACACACACACACACACACACGCACACTTGTGTCAAAGTATTCATCAGCAAGTTATACTTAACATAATACAATGCTATCAAGTTGTCATCCAGGACTCTGATGTATACCTTTGCAAAAATTTTACAAAATTAAGAAAACCACCTGCAGAATCCCTCCCTGACAAAGCATTTAATTCTAACTCCAATTAACATTCACATTTCATTTTTATGCCGTCTAAATTGTATTCAATAATTTATGAAACTATGTTAATAATGCTTCATTAGTTAAAAGTCCAACTGAAGTGTGACTTTCAAATACACAGGTAATTCTTGATATTCAGAGCAGCTGTGTTTTATTGATGACACCATGAGCACTGAATTAATAAATACCAAACCATGTTCCTAGGAGAACCACTGGGTAGGTTCCTGCAAACTTCTGGTCACCTTTCCATCAAACAATCAACAGATAATTATTCTATTTAAAGACATCTTACTTCACCTACAGTGCTGAATCTATAACCAATAGCACACTAGCTCACACTCAGGTCAATCCTAGTACACATATTTTCCTCATAAAGCACAAGACAGCATCCTTCTACTTAGGAATGCTGTATGCTTGGGGATAATTCTAAACACAAAAATTACCAACAAACACACAAACGTAAAAAAGCATGATGGTAACAAAGGACGAGTATACGGTGTGTAAACTAAACAAGAAGGCAGAGCAATTCATGTAGGACTGCGTGGTATTCAACTCAAAAACTGTGCTACTGCATTAGGGAAACAGCTGTCAGTACTGTTCCTGCCACACAGACTTGAGGACCCAAGCTGGATCTTTAGAACCTGTATTAAAAAGCCAGGGATGGTAGCACACTTATGACTCCAGTGCTGGGGAGGAAGACAGACAGATCCCTGTGACTTGCTGTCCAGTTAGCCATGCCCAATTAACCAAGTTGCCAAGTCAATGACTGTCATTTGTTTTTGAGACAAGGTTTCTCTGTGTAGCTCTGGCTATCCTGGAAGTTGGTCTATAGACAAGGCTGGCCTTGAACTCACAGAAATCCACCTGCCTCTGCCTCCTGAGTGCTAGAATTAAAGGTGTGCACCACCAACATTCACCAATCAGTGACTGTCTTAAAGACAAAGTGGGCATTGCCTGAGGAGGAACACCTCAGAAGGTTGCCCTTTGACCTCCACACACATACCACAAAATCCCACAACCTGTGCATGCACAACTCCTCTGCAGATAACCAGCAAAGCACAGCAGGGAGCACCTTTGAGTTACAACAAATTTTAGCCAACAGGCTTGTTCACAAATATAGAACCCACAAGAGGCTCAGTCATGATTTCCTTACCAATTTAAGCCCTGTGAAAAGATATTTAACTTCCTGGTTGATGAAACAACTAAGTTGAAGTTGATTTTCCTTTCCTTTGGTGACCTCTTCTTCTTCAGATTCTGTACATTTCATGCTTTGCAAATTAAGGAATGGCAACAGCTATTCAACTTGCTAATTAATCTTGAAAAGATAAATTATCCTAGAGTTATTAATAGTTATTTGTTGGTTTATTTTAAACATTAGTCTCCCAATAAAGATTCACTGCAACATGCTTTGCCTACCAACAACTTTATCAACAAAAATGAGTATGTGTTGAAGAAACCACAAGATATAAGTTGTCATTATGATAAGTATCTTAATGATCCAAAGATGAGCAAAAGATGTTCTCCAGATTTCTACCCATAACTCAGAAAACAAGTTCCTTGAATTCATGTACATTATTAATACACTAATTTCATGTAAGTGAAACTTCTCTATGAGATAAATTAATCAGACATACTTAAGGTGTTATTAAGAAAAAATAATGAGAGCTGGAAAGATGGCTCAGTGGTTAAAATCATGTACTGCTCTTCCAGAGGACCTGAACTTAATTCCCATCACCCATGTCAGGTGCCCACAACCACCTATAACTACAGCTTCAGGGAATATGATACCTCTGGCCTTCTTAAACACCTACACCCACCACATATCCCCAAACACACATATACACATAATTAAAAAGTAAATAAATACTTAAGAAAAAATAATGAATATCATTAAGGTATATACATATACATTTATCTAAAGTTCAAAATCATTGAATGACTATTTTATAAACTCCTAATTCACATTACTGTAAATTTTTAGGCACAGAATCCTGATGAATTTTTCTACCCTCCAATGCCAATCAGTCAACTCTGCTCTTATTGACAATTTACTTCTTATAAATTATGAATTTATAAGTCTATACAAATCTTGGCTCATTAAGGATACGTAGTTTCAAACTCAACACCAAAAAACTGATCAATTAAGCTTTTCTTTTTAGAAGGTGTCACTGCTGATGCAGAAGAATCTGTCTGCAAAATTAAAAAGAAAATTTCAGTTTTACTTTTTGTAGATTTCAACACAATCCAGTTTACTAATATATACTTAAGATTTTTTTAAGTGCAGGCCTTTTGTGTATTTCATCCTACGATTCAAAACCATTACCAAAAGATTAAACAAGTTCAATAAATATCAATAGGTTTTGTTTACAAATAGACTAAAATGCAAGTCTCAAATTCTAAGTACAGGCTGAGCATCTCAACTATTCCAGCAGATATCTACCTGTTAAGATGTGGGAAAGTCAAAAAGAAAATCAAAATAAAACACAAAGTGGCATAATGAATTTGATCACAAATACATCTCGCTCACCTCTTTACCAGAATCATCCTCTATGGCTTCTAGTTTCTGCTGCAGTACTCGCATCATTTGTATCCAGCACTCGTTAGCATCCTGTGATGTAAAATGAAACACTTTTGTCCTGGCTGTGACAGTGTTCAGTCTATAAAATTCTTTCAAACTAATTATTGTTTCCTTAAGGAAGAAAGGTATTTTCTTCTTTAGAAACATTCAAGCAGAGCTGGGCATGATGCTGCACACCTACAATCCCACACTTGGGAAGCAGAGGTAGGAGCATTGTCACAGATTCAAGGCTGCCTGATCTACACAATTCCAGGCCAGTCAGGGTTACACAGCAAAACCCTGTCTCAAAATAAACAAAACTTGTTAACTGGACATCTTATTCTCAGCACTCAGAAGGTCAAGGCAGAAGAATGGCAATCAATTTTGGGCCAGGCTAGGCTACATAGCAAGACTGTCTCAACCCCCATCCCACCCCATCTACACACACAGAGGCTGGTAAGATAGCCCAACAGGTAAGGCAAATTCACCTGCCGCCAAACCTGATAACCTGAGTTTGATCCTTGAAACCCTCACGGTGTTAGGAGAAAACTTAGCCCTGACCTCTGAACATGGTCCTTTAACCTCCACGTATGCAACCATGCCATACATATCTCAACCCCACACACACATCCATACATTTCACACAAAACAAATAGAAATTAAATTGTTCTAAAATTGTTTAAACACTTATTTCCTGGTTAAGTGTTCTTGAGTATATGTATATGCACCACACGTGAGTGGGTGCCACAAAGACGTTAAAGAGGGTGTTAGATTCCTGGAACTGAAATTATAGACAACTGGGAGCCACTTAATCTGAGTGCTGAGAATTGAACCTGGGTCCTCTTCAAGAACAACAAGCAGTCTTAACCACTGAGCCACACCTTCAATCCCTTGTTTTTCTAATCATGCATAAAAATAACTACTTTAACAAACTGGTGTAAGAGCTTTCAAAAAGTAAAGAATTTCAGAAAATTCATCCAGCAGATTTTATGCTCCTAATTGAGCTACACTACTGCAGATTTCAAAATTTTAGTGAAAAAAATAGAAAAGGTTCCAATAGTGAATAGATATACATAAGAATACCAAGTCCCATGTAGGGGGATGGAGCTAGAGAAAGCCAAGTGAGAGCTGAAAAAGATTTGGGGGAGGGAGCCACAGAGTGATGTGACCTAAAAGAACCAGCCATGCCATAAATGACAACCAAGGACAAGAGCAAAAACACTGCACAAAGAAGGCACTCATATTTAAGCAAAAGCGAGGAGCCACGAAGCTGGAGAAAGGTGAGCAAGGTAAAGGACATGATAAAGCCAGAGGCAGCAGGGTTTAGACTCTAAGTTACCAACAAGAACCAACACAGTGACATTCTTTAATATTCACTTTTTTGCTTTGTGTGTACGTGTGCATGTGTACAGTGTATGCCACACAGTGAGTTCCTGCAGAGAGCACAAGAGCATGTTCCCCTGGAGTTGTAGTTAAGACAGTTGTGAGCTACCCAACGTGGATGCTGGGAAGAGAACTTGTGTCTTTTGGAAAAGCAACAAATGCTCATCAATTTTTTTAAAAATGGGATACAAGGAGAGTCATCTTTCCAGCCCCAAAGCCCACTTATTTTTAATTTATCTATTTTGGGAGCTAAAGATCAAACCCAGAGCTTCATTTATGCTAAGGCAGTGCTTCATCGTTAACTCTACCCCTCCTCTTATTTGAATTTTTAAAAGGACACCAGAGCCTGTGTGACAAAACATACATGGATTAAAAACATCAAAAAGACCAGCTAAGGTTATAGCCACAACTATGAGCAAGAGATAATGATGTGAACAAGAGCAGACTAATCCCTGTGTTTCCAACTGTATTTCAATTACTATACTGAGTGCAGAAAACCTAAGTTCTGGGTTAGAGAGAAGGAAAAGTAGGGAAAGTGCTTGCTGTCCAAGCATAAAGACCCAAGTTTGAATCCCCAGAACCCATGTCAAAGTCGGATGTGCAGCTTGAGCCTTTGTAATCCTAGTTCCTTCCAGGAGAGAGGAGAATCCCCAGAAGCCTGTAGGCTAGCTAGCCTGGAGTCCATGCAGAAAAACTTCTTAAGGTGGAAGGCAAAGACCGACACAGAGGTTGTCCTCTGACCACCAAATGCACACTGTAACATGTGTGCACCCACATTTAAACACACAAACACGGAAATATAATCTAAGTTTTTCATTTACAAAATAAGAGAAACCTATCCCTGATTACCTGCTGAAGATACTGTCCTTGTTCACCCTTCTCCGCAAACTGTGGGAAAGCCATGTGCAAGAACTGCAGGAGAATAATAGGTGGTATACTAGAAGAAGTTTTATCCATGGAATCAAACAAATCTCTAAGGGCTTAAAAAGAAAACAATAGAGATTTAGAAAAACAGTAACATATTTAATATATAGTTGTTTTGTAGTGATGAAAATGTTCTGAAATTATACAACACTATGAACAATGATGGACACATTTCAAATGGGTGACTGTATGACATGTGACTTACATTTAAATAAGACTTCTGAGGAAAAACAGCACAGCTATATAAAACCTTATCTAATCCAATTACTTATGAGATGACTCATTTCTAGCCAGGCATGGTGGTATGTACCTATAATCCCATTTCTCAAGAAGGTATGGTAATAAGATCTTGAGTTCAAGACCAACTTGGACTACATGGTGACATCCTGTCTCAATAATAAAGTGGGAGCTATTTATTAATTACAATGTCAAATTCTTCTCACGTAGTAAAGAAGCACATGATATCTAGCCTTTAGAGAGTATCAAATAGCTTAGAGTAGGGGACACACTTAGCTTGCATGAGGTCCTAGGTTCAATCCTTAGCACCACAAAAATAGTAATTTAGATTTATTCTCATAAATATTTATTAACATCAACTAAGTTTTTTTTAATAACAATCACATCAACACTACTAAAACTTATTTCTGTCGCCTCCTAATGTCATTCTCAAAGATTTAACTAATAGAACCTGCAAACAAAATTACAACACAAAAAAATTAAAAGGTCTGACCTGGGGAGATGACCCAGTCAATAAAGTGTGTACCATAAAAGCATAAGAGCCTGAGTTCAACTGTGTACCATAAAAGCATAAGAGCCTGAGTTCAACTCCCAGAACCCAATAAAAAAGCTGGAGACAGTAGTACACACTTGTTATTCCAAATCTAGGGAGGTGGGAACAGGTGGATCCCTGGGTTCAATGACCACCAAGACCTAATTGGCAAGCTCTAGGCCAATGAAAAGGCCTTGTCCCAAACAAAAAGACAGATGGCTCCTGAAGAACAACACCTGAGGTTGACCCCTGGCTCCACACGTACACACAAAAGTGCAACTACATGAACATACACCAAATAAAGAAAAACCTCGGAGGGTTATTTTACTTCTTTTAAAGACAAGGTCTTTCTATTGCTTATACTCCAGGTTACCCTTGGCCTTGCAATCTTCCTACCTCGGACTGCACAATACTGGAATTATAGACATGTACTACCATGCCTGGCTCCACTTCAAAGGTTTATTTTTCAACAGAAAAATACATTATTGGTTTATAACCTGGATACATTTTAAATTATTTAATGCAAGGGTAAAGATACTCCATATGAATGAAGTGACAGACAAAAAAAAAATTGTTGCTATTTGTTTGTTCATTTGTTTTAAGACATGGTCTCTTTATGTAGCCCTAGCTATCCTGGAACCTACAAAGATCCTGTCTGCCTCTGCCTCCTAAATGCTGGGATTAAAGGCTTAGGGCACCAGGCCTACCACCACCACCCTTTTTGTTTTTGTTTTAAATAAAAGAGGTACTATGGCTTTACCTGGAGAGATGGTTCAAGAGGTAAAGGTACCCACTGCCAAGCCTAACAAATGTTAATTCAATTCCCCTAGGACCCACATGGTCCAAGGAGAGAGCCCACTTGCAAAAGTTGTTCCTCTGACCTCTACATGTGCACGTACCCACATACCTACACAGATATAAATAACATTTATTGAATAGGACAGGCCCTCTCAGTATACATACTGACCTGCAGTAATATACTGTGCTGAAGCCATTTCCCCTGAAGCTCTCAAGGCACCTGCATACCTAGAAACATTAAGTATAACAACACAATTAAATTCATCCTGAAATTTAAATGAGAGGAAATTAGTTAAAAGAACTTATTAGGATACTCTTGAATTCAAATTTCTCCAAGTATTTTTTCCTTTCTAGTCTTACTCATATCACAATGGACCTTAAAAAGCTACTTAAATTTAAAAGCTTTTTTTTTTTCTTGGAGTAAAAGCCATATACCTACTTTCATCATTAATTCATCTAACATGAAACAGTCACTGGGAGATCAAGGTTTTAGTAGAGTTTCTACTTTCACTTTCAGCTTTATGAGGCTCAGTTAATTTACAATAGCACAGAACATGAAGCATCCAAATGATGCTCACACATTACCTCATTATAAAGAATCTCAATTTCCATTCATGACAAATTCTCTATTGTAAAACATGGCATTCTTACAACACATCCAACAGAGTAACTAATAAGAGACCAACCAGAACAAATCTCAACATTAGTAAAAAACTAAACCAAAAAGGAAAGCCTGCATGATCCATTTGTATTCCAGAACTGCAAAGTAACATGAAATCTGAAGTCAATGGATGTACTTGGAGTGAATGAGGATTATTAACTGGCGAAAAAGTATAAAACTTCTGGAATATGAAATATTCTAGTTTGGTAGGAAAAATAGATTACAGAGCATTCACATCTCTCAAAAACAATCAAATCCAACAAGGAAAAAAATAAACATTCAAATCAAACATATATGGAATGTATCCCTGTAGATGTAAAGTATGCCTTAATTTAAAAACATAAAAGCAAGCCGGGCGGTGGTGGTGCACGCCTTTAATCCCAGCACTCGGGAGGCAGAGCCAGGCGGATCTCTGTGAGTTCGAGGCCAGCCTGGGCTACCAAGTGAGTTCCAGGAAAGGCGCAAAGCTACACAGAGAAACCCTGTCTCGAAAAACCAAAAAAAAAAAAAAAAAAAAAAAAAAAAAAACATAAAAGCACTTTGCTTACTTAAATAGGATGAAAGAGAGCACAGGAAAGATGTTAAATTACCTCTAACTCAAGGGCTTTGCTTTCCTGTCATCTGTTTCTAACTTTCAAAACTATAGTTTTTTGGGGGGGTTTTCTTGGTTTTTTTTGTTTTTGTTTTTTAATTTATAGAGTCAAATGGAGTGGAGGGCAGGAAACATCTGTAAGACTACTTCAGATTCTCAAAGAAATCAAAGTAGGACCAATACACAAAACTTGAGAGCAGAGCACTGTTTGGAAAGGTCATAATAAACAAGTAGTGAACCAGCCAGTGACAACAGACTAGGGGCACAATGAAGTCTGTCCCAAACCACAGCATACAACTTTTTAAAAGTAAAATGCAGATAAAAATATTAGAAACTTTGAAAAACTGATGTAAAGATTTTGGGCTGGAGAGATGGCTCAGTGGTTTAGAAGTCCTTTTGCAGAAGATCCAGGTTCAATTCCCAGCACCCACATGGCACCTCAAAAGCGTAACTCTAGTTTCAGGAGATCCAATGCCTTTTTCTGGCCTCCAAGGGAGTCAGGAACACCTGTGGTGCAAACATACATGCAGGCAAAACACTCATACACATAAAATAATACTTTAAAAATTATAAATATCAGACCTGAAAGTTCTAATTTAGTCAAAGTGCCTAACTGAGTACCACAGATTAGAAAAAATAAACTCTTAGATTCTAAGAACACTTAGGAAAATAAAATAAAGAAGAAAACCAGTAACTATTAACATAAAAAGAATAGCAACCACTCTCAGACCAGAAAGGCCTAGAAAACTTTGAGAAATAACTATTAACTATTGAAGAAACAATTTTGATCTAGGATATTTGCACCAAGAGAAATAGGTTTTAAAAAAAAAAGTAGTCTTTTGAAAAATTACAAAAAGCTTACTATGATTGTATCAGGCCATATTTCTAAGTAAAAATAAAAGTGAAAAAAGTACTAAAGAATAAAATATCTGCCAGTATCAAGAACTGAATAATTTGAATGCTTCTATTCTCCTTAAAATCTTTCAATAAAGGCTCCCAATCACCATCATACAAACAACTATTATTATTATAGTGTGTCTGTGTGTGTGTGTGCGCGCGCTGTGTGCGTGCACGCACTCACGTACATGTACGCACATACATGCCACAGCTGAGAGAGGACAACTGTCAGGTATCAGTTTTCTCCTTCCACATGTGGGTCCTGGGTATTGAACTCAGGTCATGCAGCAAGCATCTTTACCAACTGAGAAATCTCACTGGCACCTATGGAATTTTTTTAAGGATTCATATATTTTGTTTTATGTGCATGAGAGTTTTGTTTGCATATATGAATGTATATCACACACGGGTATCAGACCCTCTGGAACTGGAGTTACAGATATACAGCTATGAGTTGCCATTTGGGTGCTAAGAAGTGAATATAGATCTTCTGCAAGAGCAGTTAAATGCTCTAAATTGCTGAGCCATCTCTCTAGCCCCTACTATTTTTTTAATTTATACTCACTGAGAAGAGATTTACAGACTAATTCATAGGTTCTCAAAACATAAGACTTTAATTCACTTATGTGATGGAATATAAAAACAAAGTTTTCATTCTTTTTTAAAACTACCATTCAACTAGCATAGTTAAACCTACAGATTAAGGGAACAAAATTAAAAATCCAGACATAAACTAGTGTTAATAAAGCTGCTAAGACAACTGAATGAGTTAGAACAGTTTGACAATGCTGGAAGAACTGTATTACCTATATGCAAAAAGAGATGAAGACATCTACCTCCTACCATACATAAAAATTGATGGGAAAAATTCCTCAATTAAAAATTTCTCTTCTCGAAAAAAGGAAATGTGGCCAGGAGTGGTAGTTCACACCTTTAAACCCAGCAGAGGTAGAGGCAGGTGGATTTCTGTAAGTTTCAAGACCAACCTGGTCTATATAGTAAGTTCCAGGAAAGCCAGAGACCCTGTCTCAAACAAAACAAAACAAACAAAAAACATAGTATAAATGTTTATAATGTTATAGTACAGAGTTAATTTCTAACGTAACACCAAAAGTATGAGATAAAATAAGAAATAAAATTCAACTACATTAAAATGTTTTTTAAATTTGCTCTATGTGCACTCAATGCTTCAGTGCACATGTGAGGATCAGAGGACTTTTGGGAATTCACTCTCTCCTTCAATTTTGCTGAAGAAGGGTCTCATAGCATACTCCAGCTAGATAGATGGCTTGTAAGCTTCCAAGCAATTTGTCTGTCTCTGTGCCTCCCATCTGGCCATAGGAGTGCTGGATTACAGACACATGCCACTGTATCTGTCCATTTACATAGGTTCCAGCAACCAAACTCAGGTTATCAGGCTTGCATACCAACCATAGTCAGCCACTAAGCCATCTCCCTAGCTCCTACATTAAAGGATTTCTTAATGTGTTATAAAGACACTATCCACAAAGTTAAACAATTCGGAATACAGAAAAAAAGTACTTGCAAATTATCTGGTAAGTCAATTTAGAATATATTTTTAAAACTACAACTGAATTTTTTTAAAAAGGGCAAATAACTCAAAAACAGGCTAAGGATTTAAATAGACATTTTCAAAGCATATACAAATGTCCAATAAAGACCTGAAAAGATTCTCAACATCATTAGACATTAGAAACATAAATGAGAATATCAATCAGTCACCACTTCACACCTGTAGGATGCCTGCAATCAACTTCAGACTGTAACTGTACTGAACACAGGTGGAGAAATTAAGAGCCTTTTTCCACTGCTGGAAAATGATGCGGGCTCTTTGCAAAAAAATTTTGTTTCTCAGCCGACCGTTGGTGGCACACGCCTTTAATCCCAGCACTCGGGAGGCAGACCCAGGCGGATCTCTGAGAGTTCGAGGCCAGCCTAGACTACCAAGTGAGTTCCAGGACAGGCACCAAAACTACACAGAGAAACCCTGTCTCGATAAACAAAACAAAACAAAACAAAACAAATTTTCATTTCTTAAAATCTTAAAACAGTTAACCTATGACTAAACAACCCATTCCTAGGTACATAAGCAAGAGAAATGAAAACACATTGTCCAAATGTTTGTATATGAATGCCTGCAGTGGTTTGAATGAGAAATGTCCCCCATAGGATCATTTATATGGAGACAGAGTCCCCAGTTCATGGTGCTGTTTGGGGAAGTTATGGACTTTCTGGAGTAAGTACATCATTAGGGGTGGACTTTAAGAGTTTATAGCCACAGGGTTAACAGTGGCATACGCCTTTAATCCCAGCACTCCAGGAGGCAGAGCCAGGTGGATTTCTGTGAGATAGAGAAACTCAGTCTCAAAAAACAAAACAAAAAAGAGTTTATAGCCTTGTATCACTTCTTGTCCCCCCACTGCTTCTTGTGTACAAATAAAGGTGATCAGCCAGTTTTCTGCTTCTGCAGCCATGCCTGCCTGCTGCCATACCTTTCCCACCATGGAGTGTCCACCATCCCTTTGGAACTGTAAGCCAAAATAAACATGGCAGGGACACTGCAAGCCTCATGGACAGCAGGGAAATGAGGGAAGAATGGAACTCAACTTTAGCAGGTGCTGGGTCAAAACGTCCAGAGTCTGACCTCGGTGTTTATTTTTCTTACACAATTAAGCACAGTAAAAATTTGGAAAAGGTTTCCAAGAGACAATTATCACAACAAAGCTTTAGATATAGCTACACAGAAACTCCTTGCAAAGTAGCAAAGCTAATGTGACCTTTACAGTAAGAATGAGTTCTACTGGCTGATAAACAGAGCTCAGGGCCAGGGCCTAGGGAGGATCTGTGATAAGCATAAGGATACAGTCTATTGATGAAGCATGCAAAGTATATGGGACCTCTCATAAGGATGGGTTCCCTTCACTGAGAGACTAAGCTCAGAATAAAAGCCTAAACAAAGCTCAGGATACTGGGGGATTCAGGAAGGCTAGCTCACAGAACAGCAAAAAGATCACCAGGTTGTTAGACAACATCCATTCCAGCATTTTCTTCCTTTGAAGAAAATAGGTCTGCCTGTTTAACAAATCTGGTTCCTCCAATGCTTTAAGCTATATCTCCTACATAAACCCTTTCTCTCTTCCTTAAGCGGCTAGTTTGGTTGTGGTATTTTATCACAGCATTAGGAAAGTAACACAATGTCCATACCAGCATTATTCATAATAGTGGACACGATCCAAATGCCTACCGACAGAATGAATAAATAAAATTTTATATGTGTATACCATGAAACAGTAACAGAATAATAAATGTTCTGCATGAATGAACTGCTGTGGGATGGCAAATGTGTTGCTAATTAGTCAATAAATAAAACACTGATTGGCCATTGGCTAGGCAGGAAGTGTAGGCGGGACAAGGAGGGGAATAAAGCTGGGAAGTGGAAGGCTGAGTCAGAGAGACACTGCCAGCCGCCACGATGAGAAACAGCATGTGAAGATGCCGGTAAGCCACGAGCCATGTGGCAAGTTATAGATTTATAGAAATGGATTAATTTAAGCTGTAAGAACAGTTAGCAAGAAGCCTGCCATGGCCATACAGTTTGAAACCAATATAAGTCTCTGTGTTTACTTGGTCGGGTCTGAGAGGCTGTGGGACTGGCAGGTGAGAGAGATTTGTCCTGACTGTGGGCCAGGCAGGAAAACTCAAGCTACAATGAACCTTTGAAATTATTATGCAAAATGAATAAAGCCAACTGGAAGACTACATATTAATTATATGGTTATACGTATATGAAATGTCCCCAAATGGGCAAATTTATAAAGTAGAAAGTAAATTAATTGCTGAAGGTGAGTGGAAAAATAAAAGTGACTACCAGTGGGTACACATGTCCTTCCTTTCTTTCTTTCTTTCTTTCTTTCTTTCTTTCTTTCTTTCTTTCATTCATTCATTCATTCATTCATTTATTGGAGATAGGCCCAGAACTCATAATACAGATCAGGCTAGATTCATTCATTCATTCATTTATTGGAGATAGGCCCAGAACTCATAATACAGATCAGGCTGGTCTTGAGCCCAGAGATCCACCTGCCTCTTCCTCCTGAATGCTGGGATTAAAGGTGTGCACTACCATAACTGGCTACATTTCCTTTCTTAAGAGAGGGGAGGTTTCCAAAACTTAGTGCAGTAACAGTTGTACAATTACAATTCTGTGAATAAAAACCATGAGTACATTAACATTAAGAATGACCTGATATAATAAGTATCCTAGTGAAGATGGTATGAAAGAAAGTAGTGCCACTCAACCAAAAGTGAACAACCTTTATCCAGAGACTTAAACCAGTTCTTTTCAATCTTACCTTTTAAGGGCATCTTTGAGTTCAGGCACAGAACGAATACACTGAACTGTAGCATTCATGTAACAAGTGTTACCAAGGTTTGTCAATCCACATGGTAACTCCATCTGATAAAAGGGGATGGAGTAGGATTAACACATTTATAAAAGGACATGGCATACATAAGTCACAAAAGTTCATCTGAGTCAGGAATCATTTACCAGCCCTATCAATTAATATTCTAACTTCACACTAAAACAGTGTTCTTTCATTTCCCCTAACAGAAAATTTTTACTTGCATCATGCTGGCAACAATTGTTTTAATTCTCTTCTAAAAAACAGGAGCACAAGCCTATCAGTTCCACATTGTTTATAGGCTTGGCAAGAAAACAGGTAGGAAAACATGCAATAGAAAAACTTCAGAACAAACACACAAAAACAAACACACAAATGAGTTGGGCTTGGTAGTGCATGCCTGCAATCTCAATAGTCAGAAGAAAGGCATCATGAATCCAAGATTGTCTGGGCAACACAGTGAGTCTCAGTCTCAAAGATCCCTTCACTTCCAAAAGATGTATATAGTACCAGGTGTGTGTTTATGTTAATTTGACAAATCTTGACTATTTTCTATATTGATTTTGCATTGACTTTTGGAATATAAGCCAGGCCATAGCTCGGTGGGAGAGTGCTTGCTTTAGAATGCCCTTAGTTTGATCCTCAGTACCATTAAAAAAAAATAAATAAATAAACTGTATTTAACATGGAAGGTTTTTAAGAATTTAAATATCCTATCATTTAAGCTTTTCTTTGATCCTGTTTTCTCATAAGTAGTAAATATTTCAACAGAATTATGTTCCCAATACTTATATCAATTCATATTTGTATATTTGTATGTGCATTACATAACACCTTCATCTGTAAAATAATTAGTCCTTAATATCTCATAGCTTTGAAGTATAAAAGCATAAGCCCTGAATTAGGAATGCTATATTTAATACTAAATAGAAATTAAGCTTAAGTTAAAACCACCTGTAATGAAGAAAAGCTATAATAATCAAAGTATACAATATCAAGGAACTCTTGAGTTTTATAATGACCTGTCTATAGGACAAATTTAAGCTTGTTTCAAAAATATTAAAATTCTGCTCATTGCTAACATACATCAATATTAATAATTAAATCAAAACCTTTAGATACTACTTTCTGGAAGACATCTTAATAACTGTCCTTCAAAAAGTAGTGACCCAACATAAAATCTGGTGTCTTACAGCAGTTGCTAACTGTTCTTCTGTCATGTCTTCTACGAAGACAGTTTTAGCTGAGGGTTCTTCTGGAAGAGCATCTGCTGACCCCATCATTAGTACAGTCATTCCCTGTTACAAAAGAAATAAGTTCATGAAAATACTTAAAAGCTGACAATGTTATGTTCAATAAAGGGAAACTCAAAAGAATTCAAACTACAGCATGGTTCTCCTAGCCAAAAAAAGGTCAATCTACACAAAACAGAGTCATGACAACCTAGCCCTGGTGGTAGCTGGAGGAGTGACTTTAAATAGACCTGTGTTTCTTTAGTAGGATGAGCAAACCTATAACCTTAAGGTTATCCATGAGCTGGGCACCATGGCACAAGCCTTAACCTCGGCACTTGGAAGGCCAAGGCATGGATCCTCTGACTTCTAGTCCATTCTGGTCTCCAGAGCAAGTTCCAGGACAGCTGTAGTAACACAGTGAGATCCTGTCTCAAAACAACAATAAACCAATGACAACATCATGAGAGGGAACCCAGGTCTGACACTTCCTGGATGGCCAGGAACCAGAGGCTGGAGAGTCCACAGACCCAGGATAGAACCAAACATGAAAAAAGTGAATGATTCCTAATGATATTCTACTATATTCATAGATCAATGCCTAGCCCAACTGTCATCAGAGGTTTCATCCAGCAACTGAGGGGAGCAGATGCAAAGACCTAGAACCAAACATTAGGTGGGGCTCAGGGAACCCCAAGGAAGGATTGTAAGAGCCAGACAGGTCGAGGACACCATAAGAACATAGTCCACAGAATCAAAGCAGGGATCATAGAGGCTCACAGAGACTGAAGTAACAATCAGGGAGCCTGTATGGGTCTAAGCTAGGTCCTCTATATACATGTTATGGTTGTGTAGCTTGGTATTCTTGTGGAACTCCTAAGAGTGGGAGTACGGGTTGTCTCTGACTCTTTTGCCTGCTCTTAGGGCCCTTTTCCTCCTATTCGGTTGCCTCATCCAAACTTGATATGAAGGTATGTGCCTAGTCTTATTGTAACTTATTATGTCGTGTTCAGTTGATATGCCTGGGAGGCCTGTTCTTTTCTGAAGAGAAATAGAGGATGAGTGGATCTAGGGAATCTCCATGGACTTTTTATAATACAATAGCAAAGCAATACTAAACCATCACTAATCAAACTTTTTCCAAACCTGTCTAATGAAACAAATATTTAAATATACCATTAATAATCAGTAAGAAAACAAGAAAGAGTATTAAGCTAGGCATGATGGCACACACCTATAGGTTCTAATCCTAAAGCTTGGGAGACGGAAACAGGATGATCTGCAAATCTATGGCATAGTAGGTCTTTAAAAGTTACCCTCTAGGACTGGGAAGATAAATAACTCAATAGGTAAAGAACTTGCCATGCAAGCATGAGGACCTAAGTTTGAATCACCAGAACCCATGTTAAAACCAGACACAGTAGCACACATCTCTAATTCCAGTGTTCCTAGGCAAGAAGGGAGGGAGACACAAGAAAATTCCTAGAAGCTTAAGGGGCCACCTGGCCTGGCTTACACAGTAGCAAACAAAGAGACCCTGTCTCCAACACACTGGAAGGCAAGGATTGATGCTCAATGTTCTCCTCACTCCCTGATAATATCCTCACTGAAACTAACATAAGAAAAAAGCAAAAAAAAAAAAAAAAAAATGTAAGTTTGTTAAAGAAACTAAAACTAATCACACAAATTCCCACAAGGTTTTCCTAGTCCAAAAGAACTCACTGGTAAATTATTTCATGTATGTAAAGAACATCTAATCTTTAACTCATTCAAAAAAAGAGAAATACTTCTCCAACTCTCTTAATGAACTTAGCATAATTCTGACAAAATGGAATACATAATAAAAAGATAGATAGATAGATAGATAGATAGATAGATAGATAGATAGATAGATAGACAGACAGACTAGCCAGGTGTGGTGGCACATGCCTCCAATCCCAGTACCAGGAGGCAGAGGCAAGAAGATCAGTTCAAGGCCATCCTCCACTACATACAGGGTTCAAGGCTAACCTGAACTACTTGAGACACTGTCTCAAGTAAATAAATCAATATAAAAATGAAGGCTAACATGCCTCATGATCTTACTTCAAACATCCTAATTAAGAAATGGAACCCAACAATACATTAAGGAGGTAAATATGTCTTCCTCTCAAACGGTTACAGTACTCTAGGTGCTGTCCATGAAACTCCACTGGTCCCAGGGATGCTTTCAGAATTATCAACTCACAAACATTTTCACAGCCCAGCCTGGTGGCACATGCCTTCAAGCCCAGCAAATGAATCTGTGAGTTCAAGGTCTACAAAGAGAATTCCAGGCCATCCAGGACTAGATAGTAAGGCCTGTCTCGAAAAAAAGAAGTAAAATACTTTATTAAATCTCTACCTCTAAATACTGCTGATACTCTGTATTATAATAAGAAGAGCCATAAAACTGTTATAATCCCGAGTGACGCTAGTACTGAAGATAATTACTCCTACAAATGCTGAGTCAGAACTTGGGTTAGGTACTTTTCTCAATTTTTTACTTATTTATAATGTTTAATTGTATTTATGTGTGTAAGTGAGAGTGTGTGTCTGAGTGTGTATGTCTGTATGTACCACATGTGAATGTCAGAGGACAATTTGCAGAAGTCACGTCTCTCCTTCCACCATGTGGGTTCCAGGGATCAAACTCGGGTCCCTAGGTTTGGCTGCAAGCACCATTACCCACAAAGCCAACTGCCAACTCCCTTTTTAATTATTTTTATAAGAACAAATATTTTAAATATCTCAGTTTTAATATCTCAATATGGTAAATATCAATGAATACAGCCCACAACGCTTTGGGGTTAATTGCATACTTTTTTGTCTTTGACAGTCTTTATTATGTAGCCCCGGCTGATCTGGACCTTCCAGAGATCTACCTATATCTGCCTCCAGAGTGCTAGGATTAAAGGCATGTATACCATACCCAGCAGATACACACTGTTCATTCCATTTTTGAGGCTGAAGCAAGACTGCCTAAGCCCAGGAGTTCAGTCTGCCCCGGCAATGTTTAGAAATATCAGATGATGAGGGTGGGTTGAGAATCAATGAGAATACCGTTGGCATATACTTCAATGGTAAAGAGTTTGCCTAGCATGCACGAGACCCAAGGTTCCATCCCCTGTACCAGGAACAGAGGATGGGTGATAGGTGACAGTGAAACTGAACAAAGTATAAAAGAAAAGAAAAATCAAATGATCATTTTAACAAACAGAAAAAGGACTTCACACCATTTAACAGTCATTCATAAATTTAAATCTTAGCGAATTAAAATAAAATGTTCACTTTCACTATTTTCTATTTAATAGTATACTAAAAATTCTAACAAGAATTTAGGAGAAAAGAACAAAACTCAAAACCAGAAGTCATTTGTTTATCAATTGCAACTCAATAAAAGTCGTGATAACTAAAAGGGGAAGAAGAGTACACTCATTGTTTGCAGCTACTATCCCTGTGTACGTAAAGACCTCAAAGCAATCTCCAAAAACATTACTGGAACAATCAAGTGAATTAAGGTCACAGAATAAAAATAAACATAGAAAAAAATCAATTTTATTTTTAAATGCTAACCATGAACATTACAAAACAATTTTTAAAAATATTATTTTCAACAGCAACAGAATATTAAATTCTTAGAATCTGGGGCTGGAAAGATGGCTCAGCAGTTTAAAAACACTTAACTGTTCTTCCAGAAGACATGGGTTCAATTCCCAGCACCCACATGGCAGCTCAAAACTGTCTAACTCCAGTTCTAGGGGGTCCAACACCCTCACACAGACATATATGCAAAATAAAACACCAATGCACATAAAGTAAAAATGAATAAAATCATTTTTTTTTAATTTTTAGAATCTAACAAAAGCCAGGCAAAGTCTCTATACTAAAACACTACAACTCTGCCATGACAAAATAAAGACCTAAACAAAATACGAAGTATGCAATACTCAAGATTTAGTACTCAAATGTAGGTTCATACTCTCCAAACTGGCCTAAAGGTCTGTGTATTTTCAAACAAAGTCAACTTGAAAGAAATGACTTCTTCTAAAATTTAACTGAATTCAAAAATATTTTTGAAAAGAGAAAAAAGTGTAGAGAACTCACAGTACCTTTTTTCACACTCATTTGCTTTTGTTATCAAGACCACATGATACTAGTATAACTCTAAATCAACTAGATCAATGAGACCAGAGCTCACAGATAGACCTTTAGTTGAATTTCAAGAAAACTAAAACAAATCAATTGGGAAAAAAACAAAAAAGAAGTATAAATAAATGGTGCTGAATAACTAGAAATACACATTTAAAAGGGGCTTTGGGATTTATTTTTGGTGAAATAATTGGGTCATTTCATTATAATGAGTGTTCTTAATACTTACATTTTTCATTTTGATGTTTCCCCAGTCATCATCCTATTTTAAAGACAAACAAAAATGTTTAACCACCTCTGCATTATTAAATTTGAAGCTATCTCAAAATAAAATTTACATGCCTGCACCAAAACCAGAAATTCAATCCAGACTTGCTTGGCTTGTATACATCACATACTTTGATGCCTTTTACTTAAACTTCTCTGATGCTCTGCTCCCTTAGATTTAAAATATAAATTATAACAGTTGAAAAGTAATGAAAAATCATAAAAGCCTGGTATAGAAGACATATGCAATAAATGTTAATTATTATTAGTCAGGGTTTTTTTTAATTAGTATTTTCTGCTATAGTCCAAATTATACTAACAGAACACAGCTCAGCACAAACTAGTTATCCAAGTCTCTGAAGGCCAAAGGGTCATAAAATTTGGGAAGCAAACAAGTTTTCATCAACATCTGTATCTATACCCAACAAACAGGGCAGGTTTCTTTCAGAATGTCATATCAAACCTGACAAAAATATTTTCTGCTATCCTTATGTGGTATTATAAACAATAAGAGAAAAAAAATTCATCATTTTTGTGGCCTTTCATCAAAGGCTGCTAAGCTTGAACTCTTACTACAGAGTTTCTGTGGTTATTCCAAAGGAACTAAAGGGGAAAATAGCTTTTCTCCCCTTTTAAATAAATATTTTTTCCTCCCATCTCTAGACAGAAGTTAGACAATTACTTTTTTAAAAAATTTTTTTAATATGCATTAGTGTTTTTGCCTGCATGTACATCTATATGAGGGGTACCAGATCCCCTGGAATTGTATGCTGCCATGTGGGTGCTGGGAACTGAACCCAGGTCCTCTGGAAATAAAAGCCAGTATTCTTAACCACTGAGCCATCTCTCTAGCCCCTGACAAGAAAAAGAAATTTTTTTTTTTTGTTTTCAAGACAGGGTTTTTCTATGTAGCTCTGGTTCTCCTGGAAATCACTCTGTAGACCAAGCTGACTTTGAACTTGCGAGCTCTGCCGGCCTCTGCCTCCCAAGTGCTGGGATTAAAGTAATTACTCTTAAGAGAAAAATAGTCTTCTTTAAAATGTAGACTGGGAGAAAAGAGGGGGAAATGTATAAAAGTGCCCCATTATTTGAAAACCAGGGCTCTGATGAAGATGTTAAACTCAATTTCAACCTTTAAAATAATTACAAAAATATACACTATGGTGTTTTTAAAAAACAAATTACCCATACTGTTGCATTTTATTATTCTATAGTTTATGTGTACACATGTTTTGCATGCCTTTACCTTGTGAGACCAAAAGGGGCATCAGATCCCCTAGGACTCTAGTTACAGTTGTGGTCCCCCAGGTGGATGCCGGGGATCGAACCTGAGTCTTCTGCAAGGGCAACAAGCGTTCCTAACTACTGATCCATCTCTCTAGTCCCTGGTTGTCTATTTTTAACAGATAAAATTTTCTATCCCTGTACATGAAATTACTAAAGATATACAAATCCATATTATACTAGTCCACAACAAAAATAAAATTAACATCTTCACAGAAAAAAATTCAAACATTACAGATTATAAGATGCTATAGTCCTGACCACTGGAGGTATCTACTGAATAAAATTTTAAATGATACTTTATAATATTATATTTTGAAACAGACATGATGTTCCTCACATACACAACATCACTAGAACAGTTTAAACAGGAGGCAGAGGCAGGGAGATCTGTGAATTCAAAACCAGCCTGATCTACCTAGGGAGATCAGTTCAGGCCAGTCAGGGCTACATCAGAAGACTGTGTCTTCAAAAAAGCTACATTAGCAATAATCACAGTTTCTAGCGTTAATTATATAAGCAGTATTAATGAAACTTTAGATCACTTTTACCTTCAGTGTCCCTCCTTTCACCATAACTTTTTGTCTGGCTGGCTGGACTCCAGTCAGTGCAAAAAGCTGGGCCTTGAACACCATTGGAGGTTCATCAGTATTCAATTCTACACCTTCAAATTTCTCCTTTCCCCATTTTACTGTAACTGTAAACAAAAACATAATTACTTTTCACTTACATACTTTTTTAATTTATAGGCTTCAAATTTAGAAAATCTTCAGGGAATAACTCTTAAAGGTGAAAATATGCTAGGCCCTACCACCTAGCAGGGAAGCAGAGACAAGCTATCTTTATGAGTTTCAGGCTAGCCAAGACTACAGAGAGAGCCACCCTCCAAAAAGAAGAAAAGTCAAAATATGTCCGTCGTTGTTTTATTCCCTAAATGAGTAATATACATGCAATGGATCCAAAACAAAATTTGACCGATCTAATTCGGTTTCTCATTATATAAATACAAGCATGCTGAGAATAGAACTCAGTGGTACAGCATCTGCCAAGCACACAGGTCACATGAGCTAAATTCCCAGCACTGCAGGATAAAGGAGGGGAGGGAAGGAAAGGAAAAAAAAGGGAAAGGGGAAAGAAAGGAATGGGACAGAGAGCAGAGGAAAAGGGAAAGACTAACTTGAGAAGCTGACTGGTCCATTAATGTCACAAAATTGGTTAATAAATACCACCCAAGTATTCTAAATCATACTCCAACAATCTCTGTAAATTAAGGTGAATCTCTGATCACACTGAAATATTTCCCAGAATAAAGTTCCTGGCCTTCATGATGTGGTTAGCCTAAGAATCATTTAAAGCAGTGCTTCTCAGCCTTCCTAATGCTTTTTAATACAGTTCCTCATGTTGTTCTGAGCCCCCAACCATAAAATTATTTTCATTGCTACTTCATAACTGTAATTTTGCTACTGGTATGAATCATAATGTAAGTATCTGTCTTGCAATGGTCTTAGGCAACCCCAGTTAAAGGGTCAAAACCCACAGGTTGAAAACCACTTATTTAAAGCAATACATACTATTGGAATAGAGAGAAAGTAAGACAAGAGAGTTTGAGAAAAAAATCTCAGCCAGGTGGTGGTGGCGCTCACCTTTAATCCCAGACTCAAAGGCAGAGGCAGGCGGACCTCTATGAGTTTGAGGCCAGCCTGGTCTACAGAGCTAGTTCCAGGACAGCCAGGGCTATACAAGAAACCCTGTCTCAAAAAAATAAAAATAAAAAAAATCTTGAGGGAATAAAAGAGCATTGAAAACAGGTTAAGAAATTATAATTCGGGCTGGGTATATGGTTGTACACTTTTGACCCTAGCATTCAGGAGGCAGGGGAGGAGGTAAATCCCTTTGAGTTCATGGCTAGCCTCTTCTACAAGATCTACATGAGATCTGTCTCAATTGAAAAAAAAAAAAAAAAAGAGAAAGAAAAAAGTTATAACAATTCTTAGGTCCTGAGATGGTTCAGTGGATAAAAGCTTGGTGCTTGGCTTACAAGACTGATGACCAGAATTCAATTCCCTGATCTCAGAGAGAAAAAGCAGGACCAACTCTCAAAGGCTGTCTTCTGACCTTCAAACGTGTGCCTGCACATGTGCAAACTGGCATTCATGCACATGCTGGGCATGTGCGTACACACACACCATTTTTTGAAAAAGTATTATAATTCTAAATTATAAGAAAGGTGTGCAAGAAATGAAAGGTGGTTTCCCAAGCAAGGAGATACTCAAGTATACAAAATTCTAAAGATATGTTGGCTACATATGATAGTTATGGTCTTTTTTTTCCCCAATTATTTGGAGTTTTAATGTATAGTTTAAACTGCGCTAAAACAGGCAATTCTCCTGCCTCTGCTTTCTGAGTGCACATGCCTGCAAGCACAGCATTAAAAATAGTCTTTTAATTTTTTTTCATTTTACTTATTACTGATTGCATATGTAAGTATATGGGGGGGTGCACATGCTATTGCAAGTATGTTGAGGTCAGAGAACAACTTGCATGAGTTGGTTCTCTCCTTCCACCATGTGGGTGGGTGGGTACCTGGGATGGAACTCACAATGCACACTTTTACTTCACTCCCCCCCACCCCACAAATTTTTTTACAACAGAAAATAACAAGCATGAGTTAGAGTATAGAAAAACTAGAATCCACAGGGCGGCGGTGGCGCATGCCTTTAATCCCAGCACTCAGGAGGCAGAGCCAGGAGGATCTCTGTGAGGCCAGACTGGTCTACAGAGCAAGATCCAGGACAGGTACCAAAACTACACAGAGAAACCCTGTCTCAAAAAAACCAAAAAAAAAAAAAAAAAGAAAGAAAGAAAATAAAAACTAGAATCCTGTGCACAGCTGGCATGAACATAAAATATCAGTTGCTATAGAAAACAGCATTTTTTTTTTTTTTTTTAAAGCTGGGTGGTGGTGGCAGAGGAATTTAGTCCTACCACTTGGGAGACAGAGACAGGCAGACTTCTCAAGTTTGAGGTCCACAAAGTGGTGAGTCCAGGAGAGCCAGGACTGTTACAAAGAAAAACTATGTCTCAAAAAACTAAAACAGAAAAAAGTTTAAGCACAGAATTACCATATTAATCTCTTCCTAGAAATATAGAAGCAAGGATTCAAAATAGCTACAGGTATGCAGACAAAAGCTGAGAAAGGAGTGGGGATGTGGCCACTGGTCGAGCATTTACCTAGCAAGTATGAGGCTCTAGGTTTGATCCCTATGGCAAAAGGGTAAGGGAATAGAAATGGAAAGGGGAGGGGAAAAGAGAAGGCAGGGAAGGGGGCATGCTGGGAAAAGCCCGCTCTGAAATATTGTTCATTTCAAATAGAAAATTCTTCCATACATTAAAACACAGATGAAACGTGGAGACAGGATGGAAGGTGAGACAAACCAATCATAAAAGGGTAAACACTATATGATTCTATTTTATGCAAGGTATTCAAAGAAGTCAAAATCTTAAAGACTAAGAGAATGCTGGTTGTCAGAGGCTAACTGGGAAAGCAGACATGGGGAAATGTTTTTAATGGCTAGAGTCTCTGCTTGAGAATGAACAGACTCTGGAAATAATGACTGTACAAAAGTGTGAAAGAATTTAAGTGACAGAGAACTGTACACTTAAAAACATCTGAGATGTGACATGTGCCTGTAATTTCAGCTAATCAAGAAACTGAGGCAGAAGAACCCTTTGTGCCCAGGATTTAGAGCCAGGCCAAGTCAAAAGGAAAAGAGAAAAAAATGGTCACAAAGATAAATTTTACCACAACTCAAAAGCCTTGCTCAAGCCAGGCAGTGATGGTCCACGCCTTTAATCCCAGCACTCAGGAGGCAGAAGAAGGCCAACCTGTGAGTTGGAGGCCAGCCTGATCTACAATGTGAGTTTCAGGACAGCCAGGACCACAGAGAAACTGTCTCGAAAAATCAAAACAAACAAAAAATGCCTTGCTCAACTTCAAATAGCTAACTTTTGAAATATGTAAATAAAAAAACTCAAGCACATACACTGAAAACTGTGTCTTTTCAAAAATGGTTATTTCAAAACAAAGTTCCAACTTCTAGAATCAAATTTTAATTCTTGACCCAGACTCCACATCTTAATTCTATCAACAGTTTACTGAGTATGTTAAAGGGTCCAGAGAGACGGCTCAGCAGATAATAGCACTTGTTGCTGAGCCTGAAAACCTAGGTTCAATCTCACAACCCACAGGGGGGAAGAAGAAACCAATTCCTCTGACCACCAAACACACTCTGCATGCACACCCGCCTCATACACAACAAATAAACATTGGTTTAATAACAAGCACATTACCTACTTTTAGAAAGAATCTAACATAATCTAATAAAGAGAGGATGTGGTGGTTATAACGATGTTTATTATAAAGACTAAAGGCTCAAAGAGCAACAATTTTATTTTATTTTCTTTTTTTAAGATATGGTCTCACTATGTAGCCCTGGCTACAACTCGATACATAGATCAGCTTGGCCTTTAACTCACAGGAAGACTCTGCCTCCCAAGTATTGGAATTAAAGTTGTACACCACCACACACACAGCTAAACAAAAATCTTGAGTAAGGAAGTATTATTTATTGCTCTGTTTGGTCTTGCTTTTTGGAACAGGGTCTCCCTGTACAGCCTACACTGTACCAAAATTGATGATCCTTCTGTCTCGGTACTTTAAATGTTGAGATCAGAGATACAAACCACCATAACCCAACCAGGAAAGATTTCTTGGAGGAATTATTAACTTCTGAATTATCACTGCCAACTTTTGAGTTGAATCTCAAAACAAAGGTATTAGCCAGAGAATAGAAGTATTCCTAAAACAGACAAGAAAAACATTTACCATAAGGTCTGAGATAGCAATGATTCCCAGAGTGAATTAGAAAGTAGCAGAGGAAACTGGAAACTATTAATAAGGGTCAAGTGGGAAAAGTAGCATATGGCTGGGCAGTGGTGGTCCATGCCTTTAATCCCAGCATTCAAGAGACAGCCAGATCTCCGAGGTCAAGGCCAGCCAGTTCTACAGAGCAAGTTCCAGGACAGCCAAGGCTACACAGAGAAACCCTGTCTCCAAAAAACAAAGCAAAAGAAGAAAGGTAGCATATGGCATGCTGAAATATACATATGGCCTTTTATGGTATATGCAATGTGTAATCCCTGAGTTAAATAAAGGCTGCTTGGTCTGTTTGATTATTATCGACAACTCTAGCAGCAGTAGGAAAAATAGATTCAAATGTTGCACAAATTGTAATCATAAACAAAAGGCAAAGGTACTGGGAATACAGCTTAGTAGTACCGTTTCTACTTAGCGTGCACAAAGACCTGAGTTTGATCCTAAATAACACAAGAGCAACAAGTTGTTTTTTTGTGTTTCTTTCTTTCTTTGGTTTTTCCGAGACAGGTTTTCTTTGTGTTGGTTCCCTGGCTGTCCTGGAACTCGCTCTGTAGACGAGGCTGGCCCTAAAATCAGAGATTGGGCTGACTCTGCTGAGATAAAAAAAACATTAGTCACTATATGGGGCCTACAAGTTTTAAAGTAATGTATAATAGTATACAAATGTAAAAAATAGTATACAAATGTAAATAGTATAAAATGTATAACAAGCTAAAGATAACATAGGACTAAATGAAAACAGTATTAGAAATAATGGAGAGGACGCCAGGCATTGTGGTGCACATCTTTAATCCCGGCAATTGGGAGGCAGAGACAGGCGATCTCTTGAGTTCCAGGCCAGCTAGGCCTACACAGCAGGTCTCCAAATAAATAAATGAATAAAAGAATCCATCCTACGATTAACTGTTATTCTTGGTTCATATCATTCTTTAAAAGCAATCATTCTCTTATAAAGGATTATGTATGCCAAAGTGAGAGTCAAAGATAATCAATAAATCACATCCAGAGCCAATTGGAGTTGCCATACACATTTTTGGAAGCCATTTTGACCAAGAGTAGAAACAGCGAAGTCCAATAACTAAAGAAAACACGATCCTTGGTCAATACCTTGGAAAGCCAGCAAGAAAAGACTACTGCCAAATGCCGAAAAGAAAGAAACGGCACTCGCCAGTATTTGTATCCATCTACACTTTGAAGCTAACGATATGTTTCATCTTCGAAGTCCAAAACAATGTATGCTTTAAGTTAAAATGAAGCATCAAAAAGACTGATTTGCAGTCGGCTTCGAGATAGAACTGAAATTGGCACAAAGGGGGCGGTAGAATCAAAATGGTGAGCAAATTCCAAGCAGAAGACAAGTAAACCTTATACCTGAGACCTTTCATCCCCAACTTCCTTCCATGCTCATTCCACTGCTATCATCCAGGAGCTCAAAGCAATCACACTCCACCAGCCTGGTCTCCTGCGCCCCAGGACACACCTTCACCTTTCCCAGCACACTGGGGCAGCAACAGAAACTATTCTGCAGAGTCACGACTCTTGGAGATCTTCCCTGTCTCCACTCCTGCTCCCACCCCAACCACTCGGGGACACGATGGACAAGCTCCCACGCGTAGCTGGGCTACTGCTCGCGCGGCCGCCACTCGGACTTCCCACCGTGGCCCTCTGCGGCTGTGCCCTGCGCGCGCCTCTGCAGGCTGGGCCTAAGCGAAGGCCTAGCGGCGGCTGCGACCTCGCGGCGACAAGAGGACGGAGCTCACCAGAGTAGAGAGGCATGGCGGGGCGGAAGGGAGGAAACGGCGCAGGAGGCTGGGTCTGACAAGGGCGGCAGAGGGATATGAAGCAGCTCGTGTAGCCGGCCGGGAAGGAAGCGAGGTGGTGGCGGCAGCTCCGGTGCGACAAGCCTCATTCAAACCGGCCACTGGCGATGACGCAGCAGCACGCTGTTCGCCCTGGGATCCACTGCGGGGGGAGGTGGGAGGCGCAGCTCGGAGCAGAGGCGGGGCCTGGGGCGGGGGAATAAAGGGAAGAGGGGTGGGCCAAGTGGAGGAGGGGACTGGGGACGGGGGAGGCCAGGGCGGGCTGAGGGAGGGGAGGCGGGGCCTGGAGAGAGGCGAGGGCTGAAGCTGTGGGGGCGGGGCCTGGGAGGAAAAGCGTGGCCTGGGGGATGATGGGAGGGGAGGGACGGCTGAGAGAGAGGAGGCGGGGCCTGAGGATCAGGGAGGAAGAGAGGGCCTAAGGAGAGGAGGCGGGGCCTGGGGGGAAGAAGGGAGGAAGAGAGGATCTAAGGAGAGGAGGCGGGGCCTGGGGGGAAGAAGGGAGGAAGAGAGGATCTAAGGAGAGGAGGCGGGGCCTGGGGGGGAAGAAGGGAGGAAGAGAGGATCTAAGGAGAGGAGGCGGGGCCTGGGGGGAAGAAGGGAGGAAGAGAGGACCTAAGGAGAGGAGGCGGGGCCTGGGGATCAGGGAGGAAGAGAGGATCTAAGGAGAGGAGGCGGGGCCTGGGGGGAAGAAGGGAGGAAGAGAGGATCTAAGGAGAGGAGGCGGGGCCTGAGGGGGGAGAAGGGAGGAAGAGAGGATCTAAGGAGAGGAGGCGGGGCCTGGGGGGAAGAAGGGAGGAAGAGAGGGCCTAAGGAGAGGAGGCGGGGCCTGGGGGGGGAGAAGGGAGGAAGAGAGGATCTAAGGAGAGGAGGCGGGGCCTGGGGGGGAAGAAGGGAGGAAGAGAGGATCTAAGGAGAGGAGGCGGGGCCTGGGGGGGAAGAAGGGAGGAAGAGAGGGCCTAAGGAGAGGAGGCGGGGCCTGGGGGGGGAGAAGGGAGGAAGAGAGGATCTAAGGAGAGGAGGCGGGGCCTGAGGGGGGAGAAGGGAGGAAGAGAGGATCTAAGGAGAGGAGGCGGGGCCTGGGGGGGAAGAAGGGAGGAAGAGAGGGCCTAAGGAGAGGAGGCGGGGCCTGGGGGGGGAGAAGGGAGGAAGAGAGGATCTAAGGAGAGGAGGCGGGGCCTGGGGGGGAAGAAGGGAGGAAGAGAGGACCTAAGGAGAGGAGGCGGGGCCTGGGGGGAAGAAGGGAGGAAGAGAGGATCTAAGGAGAGGAGGCGGGGCCTGGGGATCAGGGAGGAAGAGAGGGCCTAAGGAGAGGAGGCGGGGCCTGGGGATCAGGGAGGAAGAGAGGATCTAAGGAGAGGAGGCGGGGCCTGGGGATCAGGGAGGAAGAGAGGGCCTAAGGAGAGGAGGCGGGGCCTGGGGGGGAAGAAGGGAGGAAGAGAGGATCTAAGGAGAGGAGGCGGGGCCTGGGAAGGCTAAGGGAGAGGAGGCGGGTCCTGGGGAGGGGGGAATGAAGGGAGGAAGAGGGCCTAACGAGGGGCGGGGCCTGGGGGGATGAAAGGAGGAAGAGAGGACCTAAGGAGAGGAGGCGGGGTCGGCGGGGGGGGGGAGGGGAGGAAGAGAGGGCCTAAGGAACCTAGGGATGAGAAAAGGGAAGGACAGATAGAGGAGCAGCGGTAGGAGCCTGGGGTAGTGAAGCCAAGGAGATAGGACGTACAGGGCGGAACTTGGGGGTGAGTAGAGGAAAACAGGCGGGCGTAGGGCGAGTGGGAGAGAAGCCTGGAGGTGTTAAGAGTGGCGGAAGGAGCAAAGGTGGGCACTGGAGGGACTGAGAATAGGAAAGGAGTGGAGACAAGGAGTGAATGTGGAGATTGAGGCCAAGAAGGGAGAGGGGGAGGGGCTGGTGGAGCGAAGTCTGGGAGCACTTGAGCTCTTGCGCACTGTGGATCTACCACCTGTCACCCTCAGGACACGTGGTCCTCGGCCTGCCAATTTCTGTACTGTATTTTCATTAACCTACCTGTTGCCTTTCACTAACTCATCACATTTGTTTTTTTGTTTGTTTGTTTTGTTTTTTTAAGGAGTGAGGTTCGAGGCAGGGTTTCTCTCTGTCACTTTGGAGCCTGTCCTGGAACTCACTCTGTAAACCAGGCTGGCCTCAAACTCCCAGAGATCCGTCTGCCTCTGCCTGAGATTAAAGGCGTGCACCACCTGCAGGTTTGTGGATAAACAAGGCCAGTGGAATATGGCCAAGTATGAGGGGATTTTATGTATTTATTTAATTTTTATGTGTGTTGGGATTTGGCCTGCGAGTATGTCAATGTGAGGGAGATGGATCCACTGGAACTTGAGTTACAGACAGTCGTGAGCTGCCATGTGGGTGCTGGGAATTGAACCTATGTCCTTTGGAAAAGCAGTCAATGCCTTTAACCATTGAGCCATCTTTCCAGCCCCAATATCAGGGTTTTCATAAATTTTGTTAAAGTACCCATGACAAGAGAGAAAAGCCTCACAATCACATTTGTTAAGGGGACTTCGTAAAATGTACCACTGTTGAGGATACTTTCTTCCTCTTCTGACCAATATGAATTTTGTCCATCTTTAAAATCCCCCTCTCCCACCTCCCCGCATTACTAACTTTCATATAAAAAACGCCTACTCCTACAATTACTCCTTTCTTATCAAGTAGTATTACAATCATAGCTATTCTCTCCTTTTCCCCCATGAATATATGTGTCTAAAGCACTCAAAATAGAATACAAAATTAATCAAACACAGTTGCTGTCTTAGTAAGACCTAGAAAAACTCAAAGTTAACATATGCATGCATTAACTCGAAGGCTGTCTAAATGGAGCCCTTTGCTGGAAGCAACAGAAAGAAGCTAGAGCTGGCCAGGGATGCCTGGCTCAGCCTCCCTTCCAAATGCATTGAGGCATGTGGCATGGACTTCCCCAAATGGAACAGCCCCTCAGTAGTTTCCATAGCTACTGTAATCAACGGCCACAAACTCGATGGTTTAAAGCCACGTAGATGAATTTCTCTACCACTACAGTAGTCAGAAGCCTTAATCTTAAGGTGGTGGCAGGATCGCTTCCCTTCTGGATGTACCAATGCAGAAATCTAGTCCTTATCTTGTGTAGGTGTTACAAGCTATCCAGGTTCATTGGCTGCTAACTTCATCTATGCCATGGGTATCGTGCTTCTTCTGACTTTGACTGTTGCCTCCTTCTTTATAAGCTCCCAGGCCAATCTTCTCATCTTAAACACACCAGTAAGTCAATCACAGGCTCAGGGATTCAGATGTGGATATGTTTGCAGGAGCATTATTTTATCTGCTACATACTTCCAAAAACAAGTTTATAGAGTAAAAATAACATCTACTATCCTTTCTTATAACATCTATTATTTTTATTCCAATATTTTTCTCTCTGCTGCATAAAATTCTTGGAGAAAAAGGTCTGGCCTTAAATACTGTAGGAAATATATAAGATCTAGGACAGTGCTTTGTTTTAAAAGATGTTCAGCAAATATTTCCTAAATGGATGCAAAACATAGTTGAGATCAGTAGAGATGCAGATTATATCAAATACATGTTTCTGTGACAAAGAGGTCTCAAGATTCAGTTGTTTAAAGAAGATAGAGGGTTATGGAAGAGTCAGGGAAGAACAAAGGAAAGGTTGTTGATGGGCCAGGAATCAACCGATAAAATTCATTTGCCACTTATTAAGCTAACTGAATATGAATGGGGCATATCAAATGGCTCAATGGGCAAAGACACCTGCTAAGCCTGAGACTCTTGAGTTTGAGCTCTGGAACCTACTGATGAGCTGACTCCACAAGTTGTCCTCTGACCTCCATGCAAGAACAAGGACCAAAATATGTACACACACACACAGACACACACACACACACACACACACACACACACACACACACACACACAAAAAGAAAAAAAATTAATTGAATATGAACATGAATCACTTTTTAAAATGTAAACTTAGATTCTGTTGATCTTAGATGAGTCTTAAACACTAAAAGGCTCTCAGAAAACATTGAGACACAGTCTAAAAATCACTCATTGAGGAGGAAGGTGTTAAAAAGCTTTTCTTTCCTTTTTCCCCCTTTGGTTTAATAGGTTGCATGTATATGCAGACTTCAGCCCAAAGGAAGAAGCAGGAAAAGAAAGTACAAGACAGCATTTTTTAAAGATTTATTTATTTTTATGTTTCTTTGTCTACATGTATATAAACACACTCTGTGTGTGTGTGTGTGTGTGTGTGTGTGTGTGTGTGTGTGTGTGTGCACTACCAGAGGAGGAAGCCAGAGGAAGGCACTGGATCCTCTGGAGCTGGAATTATGGACAGTTATAGTCAGCCATGTGGGTCCTGGAACTCAAACCCTCCTCTTCCAAAGAGGAAGTATTCCTAAGTGCTGAACCTTCTCTCCAGCCCCAGTGATTTCCTTTTAAATGAGAAAAGAAGGAATGTACACAAATTGCTCTCAGTCACATTTCATTAATGCCAGCATGGAACCTGGGAAATGGAGTCAAAAGAGAGCATGGATACAAAAGCATTAGGTAAGAAGGACAGCGGATTTTAATGGAAAACCAACAATCTTTTGTGTTCATGTTGATCTGTTTTGTAAATTATCTCCAAGCTTATAACGTTTTCCTATGAGTGACAAAATTCCTGGTGGTTCAATTTTCTCTGTTGTGCACTGATAATGATTATACTGATACTGGATCTCCTTGGGGTTGTAAAGGTTAAACAGCTAATTGAATGCTTATTATGTCAAAATAATTACCAAATAGAGATAGTCCAAAACAGAACAAATAG